TTCCAACCAATGTTCCCAATGTTATCATTCTGCGGCTGCGGGTTACAAGATGCTCTTATTTATACTCTTATATTATATATATATATATGATGCTTGATAAGGTATTTTTGCCATTTTTGCAATAACAATGAGAATAAAAATTCTACAAAATACAGAAAGCCAAAACAATGTTTGACAGGGTCTCCTGGTAAATTATATTTTTAAATTAACTTTGTAAGCTGAAATAAATCGAAATTTTTAAAGACTTTCAGAGTAGTAAAAAATACACAGCAAAAATGACTGAGTTTAATTTTGGAGGAGGAACTTTTGACCAACTTTTATTTTAAGCAGCACCAGGAAATTGTTGGCATAAGTTTAAGATTCCATGTCATATGAGTAGGCCCTTGTTTCTTCTATTATGGAATGTCTCAGCCTGATGTTGGCTTTGAGGGTACCTTACACATTCAATTAAGTATGCACACTCTCATTAAGAACTTTAATACATTACTAAAGCAATATTTCGGAAACGTCACATCGCACTGGTACATGTGTATATATATGATAGGGTGTGCCAAAAAAATTCACCTATTGCGTTTATGGGTAAAAATAAACCTTTTTACTGATAAAATAATGTGAATCAGCTCTAGGCATAAATAATATTTTAGAACAGTTCACATCGATAAGTCGAACCGAAAAAGTGATGATGATTCACATTGCCACTCAGTTGGGTTAACGTACATATCGCGCTCATTCATCAACTACTCGTAGACGTTTTCATTCGGCAGTTAGCAGAATGTTCTGCTATTTGAATAACACAGTTGCGTGTTTGGATCTAAAAGAGTTACGGTCACAGGATATCAACCTATTAAGAACTCTAAGTTAATTGGACTATTCACTGCCAAGATTGGATTTCAATAGTTGCTTTCTGGCTACTATTACGCCTAGCCGTGAATGAACAAGAGTTTAAGACACTGATGACCCTAACGTCACCAAAGATCAATTCGAATATAGTTAATAACTTCCACCCATCCACTTACCGATAATATGGGTTCTCCGTCGCAGGAATACGTTTGGTAACGAAAAACCAGATAAGTTAGCTGAGTGACACTGCAGAGGACTGCGAGGATGTAATAATACCGTATATGCATAGAGCAAACAGCTCAGAACAGATGGAAATCTATAACTATAAATCTATCTATCTATTTTATTGGCGTAGTCGTCACCGTCTTCGCGGTTATAGCCTAGTTAACAACAGAGCATCAATCATTCTTTCTTTTTACTGTTTGGCGGCAATTGAAAATACCAAGGACGCACAGATCCTTCAGTACCAGCGTTTTCAAACGGAGTGGAGATATTCAAACTGGAGTAATCTTATCCAAGATCTTGTCAGTGTAGCCCCCAAACAACGAAGAGAGTGCGTGACTTTCTAAAATCTAAAAATAGTAAATCCTTTGAAATAACTTTATTAGTCTTCCATTCAAATTTAAGAATGATCTTGAATCATATTGCTGTATGGCGAATATTAAGTAATCGTCTGGGATGCAAGAAGAAATCTGTTCGATGGGTACTTACTTACTTACTTACTGGGTACCACTAGCCCAAAAAGAGGGTCGAGTGGATTTTGCTCAATTTTTCCAAAACAAATCCGAATATGGTCAGTCTAGCAACTTTAGTGAAGTCCTTACTGGTGACGAATCTTGGTTCTTTACGTACGATACAGAAACCAAACAGCGGTCCATGGTATGAAGCCCAAAAGAAGCAAGCCCACCCGTATAATCTAAGCAACCTAAATCAGCAGCTAAAGTAGCGATGTCACTTTACTCCATGCGATCTAAAATCGTAGCTGCTACTACACTGGAAAAAGGTCAGACGGTATATGTAAAATGGTTCACCGAAGAGTGCATACCAAATGTTCTTAAAAATTTGTTGGAAATCTGAAAGAAAGTGGACTTGATAAGGTTGAAAAGCTAAATTTTGTGGATGTTTTCAGAAGTGGCTTAAGAAATCTATTGATATCTATGCTATGTAGAGAAGATAAAAAAGAACTTTTGTTAATTCCCACGTACGACTGCAATATTCGCCGTTGCCAACTCGTAGAGGACCATAAATGTTTCGCGAAACATTTCCCGCGAAAGCCCCTAATGTCGACTCAACAAAATTCAGCATAGTCCGCACCTCCGCACTATACAGCAGCACCGGAACGATGACATAGTATAATTCTTTTCGCAGCTTAAAAATAAAAGGGTTAAAGGAACTGTCTTCCATTTGCTGTGTGAATGCTCGCCTCTATCACATTTGGCATGGAGCACTTGGTATGTTTTAGATACCAAACCTTGCATGACTGACACCATAAAACGTAGCGGATATTATGGTTTGAAAATATAAATGAAACGGGAAAGTAAGAATATGAAGGTGAAACGATTAATGTATCAAAACGATACATATAACGATAAACGATACGCACCAATTGAGTCCAAAAGCTTAAACTCTACCTGTGCTCAGATCCATTACTTTTCTCCTTGGACACGCTTCTAGCCGACTATATTGGAAGATTTTGCATATGAATTGAATTGAAAGAGTTTGAAACCTTTTAAAATATATATAGAATCGCAAAGCTTACAAGAACGACCCATATTTTGTGAATAAGCGCTCGAACTGTTGAATGAAGTTCAACGAAGCCCATTTCTGATTGAATGGCTATGTTAAGAAACGATATTGGCGTTTTGGGAAGATCAACCCGAAGATTTTGTAAGTAAGTATCAATGTATTCTGGAAAAATCACTGTTTGGTGTGGTCTATGAACCAGCGGCATCATCGGGCCTTCGCTACGGGGCGAAGATTACCAAAAATTGAGGAGCACGAAAAATCAAAAATGTTCTTTTTTTCGTCACAGATAGAATAATCAAATTTGTCTTCAGATCCTCGAGTAACCTTTGCGTAATCACCACAAAGTGTCTCTCAGAAGTATTATCACATTAGTTGTTTCGTACTGCACAAATGAGTCTATATTAATTGTATTGACCAAAAAAAAGACTACCAAAAGTAACATAAAGGTAAAATATTATATAATCTTTTATTTTTAACATTTACTGTTCAACACAAGTTTCAGTGGAAATGGAGAAGAAAACGAGGAAATAACGATCGCAGCGGGAACGTAAAGTAGAGACAAACGTCAAGATGCCATGAAATTCCCCATAGACTAACTCAAGGATACTTCCGAAATAATGTACAGTTGATGTTTAATGTGTGTCATAATAACGAAAAATGCTCGTAAAAATAAGAAACTGACAAATGTTATGGTGTATGTGTGATTTGAGACAAAGTGTTAAGGTAAAGCTGAAGATAAAATTCCGCAAGTAGTCAACTGTACGGTTAGGCAGAAAATTACGTTTGGGACATGATTACTTAGCACTTGCTGCTGTAGTACATGTGGAATTTATATGTACGAGTATGTGTGCTGAATGTGTGTGTGCGTGCGTGTGGGTTAAGTAATGTTCACCTGTAGGAGTTAAATGTAGCTCAAACAACATATGTGGATACATATAATATACATATGTATGTTAGTTAATATTTATATACATCTACATATTTGTTATACATATATGTATATAGCCATATGTATACATATGTACACGCACTACTCGAAACAGAAATTGGCATTAATACTAAATGAGCCTGTGTCGTTTGTGACTTCCTTAGTTGTTTGGTTAACTTCTTGGCTTGTCGAAGTGTCTGCACTCTTAGGGCATTAGTTAGGCAATAAAAGTGCAAAGTATATACGTGCATACATATACATATGCATGTATTTATTTACGTTTGCATAAATATAAATTATTTATAGTTTTTCGGCTGCTGGAATTGTGTTTGTTCAACTTTTACTTTAATTTGCCTATGGAAATGCAAATTTTCCAGTTAAATTAACCTAAGTAATAGGTACGTGTGTATGTTTCAATACATAAGAAAATGCTAAATTTATAAATACATTAATGCAAGTCAGTGTATTTTCTTCAAGAATTTTTTTTTTTATTTTTGCAACTAATTCCATATAATATTTTAAGGCTTGCTTTGAACAATGAGTTCTTTTCAGATTTTTAATTGCACCCTTTAAACTTCCAGGACTAGATGGTATCTTGGCGGTTGAACTACAGAGGGCTCCGGATATCTAATCTCCACTTCCTTGTAAAACTTAAAACGCCTGTCTGCGTGATGAATACTTCCCCAAGCTTGGACGAGGGCCAAAGTGATTTTTATTTCAACCGGAAGAAGAGCCAATAACATCAGTCCTAAAGCTTTTCGGTTCATTACATCTTTCCTATTAAAAAACTTTGAAAGGCTGCTAGACAACAACTTACGTCTAAATCTATTCCCAGTTAGCAACACATTTCCTCTAAGGATAACTCTGTCGATACAGCGCTACATGCTTTAGTAGGGTGCATCGGAAAAGAACTTGCCTTGAGTCAGTGTAGTACACGCTTGGTGTCTTCTTTGGCGTTAAACGGGCTTTCAACAAGATTCTCCCGATATTCGTAATAGAGGCTCTTCAAGAAATGGGTTATCAACAGTCCATAGTGAATCTTTTGGAGTTCCTTTTGAGAAAGAGTTGGGCAGCGTCAGTATCACCAGCTCCACAAACAAGAGATACTCCTCAAGGGAGTACATGTATCGCTACTGCTGAGGTATCTAACAGTAAACACGCTGATTAGAAAACTATACAACACATTCTGTGGTATGGTGACATACGGCTTTGAGGACTTTGCTCTAACAGTGACTGTAAACATTAGGCGAACTACTCCAAAATGCTCTATACATAGTTGGTAACTGTCAAACGAAATAAAATGGAAATGGTTCTATTTACCGGGAGATACAAACTGCCCCTTTTTAATCCACCTAAACCAAACGATTATCTCCACTCTCTACCGAAGTCAAATGTCTTAGGATGATCTTAAGAGCAAACTCAACTGGCGCCGGGAACACGGCATGAAGGTCAAAGAAAGCTATAACTGTACCATACCCAAGAAAATATGGGGTTTAAGACCGAGTATCGTGTACTGGATCTATACATCGATAGTAAGACCGATCCTACTCAAGGCATCTGTGTTTGAGAGAGAGAATTGCATTACAGGACACACAAAAATATTATCTCTTGCAGAAAAGCCGAAGGAGCTACAAACACCTCCAATTCCTCCAGCCCAGAACAGGAACCCAAGATGGCTGAATGAGATCAAGTGCAACTTGACGAGATGATTATAGACAAAGTTGAATGCTGTGAAATCAAAACTACTTCCTACTTCCTTCTTCGTCGAGCTCCTTCGGCAATTTGTGGTTTTGCGTCTTGATGTTTTTGCAACAAATGAAGGGACCCAGAGTACAGCACTAAGCGTTACAATTAGTATAACCTACTATAGAAATGGTGACTGCAGCTTAGATAACAACTTAATCGTACTAACCAATCGCAACGACCTACAAACGTCGATTGGGTGCACGAACAACAAGCAGTGGACGGCACTTTTTGGAACAAAATCTTCTTCAGCGGCTAGGCACATTTCTCACCCTGGGCATACATAATTAAGCAAAACTGTTGCATTTTGGGATATTGAAGATCATCAAATAATTGAAGAGAGGCCAGTACACTATAGAAAACGTACTGTCCGGAGTTTTGATTGGTTCTTACTTCTTTAAAAGCTGTAACGGCGAAACATTTTCACTATCAATTCGGAGCGTCATGGTTGCATGACAACCGTTTTTATTCTTTGGCCTGCAATTGAAGAGCATGACTTGGACAATGCACACAATACGAGCGAATATGTCTACATTGCGAGAGAATTTTCTAGGCCACGTTTTTTTTTGCCTAGGCAATGTCAATTCGCTACCGAGCTCGGGCGATTTAACTTCGTTGGACCCTTTTCTTGTAGCACTTGAAAACTAACATTTATCAAGTTATAGCTGATATGATGCCCAATATGTGCCAAAAACGGTTCGAAGTTTACTAAAGTTCTCGACACATTACACATATAATGCGAGGGTTCAAACCTTTCAATGAAAGGGAAGTTTCAGAAAAAAAATTCTTTAAGGTGCATTTTATTTACATTTAACTTGGAAACCACAAAATGGTTAAATCTATGCGTTTTGAGTCATTTTTTCAGATTTTCATACATACTAATACTGAAAACTGAAAATTAAAAGCTCAATAGTTAATGAAATTTCTATGCAGTTGCCTAGGAAATTTGAGCGAATTGACATACAGTGGAAGAGAACTCAAGTTCAGTTTATTTTAAAGATCATAAAAAGATTATTATTTTTCTGTATTTTTGGTCTAAAATACTGTAAACTATTTTTTAACCGTGCACTGAAATATATAATAGAGTTTCAAGCAGTCAAATCGCGCGTTGCCTGACTGTTTTGAAATAATTTAAATTACTTTTGTATTTTCCTAACGACTTCGTATTGAGTTGAGCTTCCAATATTATATATGTGTACCTATCTACGTGTATGCCTATGCCCCTTGGTCTTATCTAAATGTACGTAAGTATATAATTTCGTTAGTGCTCTTTTCTAATTTCTAATTACTTAACGGTTGCAAATAAATTGATAACTATGATACGAAAATCATTTATCAATTTCTGAGAATCTTCAGATTTTATCAATGAATTTATTTAGTATAAAAGTGAGTGAATTTTGCAAGTTCTGATATAGTTCAAAAACACGCCTCAAAGGCATATTATTTATTTGGAATAAGAGAAAAACAGTGAAAAAGGTGTCTTGTGTTTGAACTTAGTAGCATGTTTAAAATTTGTGGTAAGTTCTTCGAACACACAAGCACATGTACATATAAATTTCAAGGAAAAAGTTTGGAAAAATAACAGCAAAAAATAATTTGTTTTCCCTGTTTTCAGTGTTCACCAGCGCCTTGTTGGCTGTAATAGCTACAACAAGTGCTGCCAGCTTAAATCCAGCAGCACGTGCAGCCGATAATGCCTTATATAGTCGTTATGTGTGCCGCAACAGACCGGATGGATATAAGACTATGGTACCCGGTAGTTGTTCCAGCTACTATCAGTGTTATAACGGTGCTAGTGTGAAAGTGGATTGTCCTGCTTATTATGATGGTGTGAAGAATATTTGTGTTGATCGCAATCCTGGTTGTATTGAGGATCTCGCTAAGTATCCTGCAGCTGCAAAAGATGTTTCAAATAATCCATGCTCAGGTAAAGTGAGTGGCTATGTTGTGGGTCAAAATCAAGCTCAATGGTATCAGTGTAATAACAGTAATGTGATCAGTTCGGGTGTTTGTCCAAGTGGCCAAGAATACAATTTGGTTTTATTGCAATGTGGTGTTAAGTCGTCATGCGGTGGAGATGATCAGCCGCCTTGCCAGGGACAAACAACAACACCACCTCCTTGCACAACTACAACTACGCCTTGCACAACTACAACTACGCCTTGCACAACTACAACTACGCCTTGCACAACTACAACTACGCCTTGTACAACTACAACAACGACTTGCACAACCACACCAACACCAACCAAAACTGTAACACCAACACCGACCAAAACAATAACACCTACACCAACACCAACACCTACTCCAACGCCGACAAAAACACAAACTCCAACTCCAACTCCTTGCTCACCTACACCAACACCAACACCAACCAAAACTGTAACACCGACACCAACACCTACTCCAACGCCAACAAAAACACAAACACCAACTCCAACTCCTTGCTCACCTACACCAACACCAACTCAACTCCAACTCCTTGCTCACCTACACCAACACCAACACCAACCAAAACTGTAACACCGACACCAACACCTACTCCAACGCCAACAAAAACACAAACACCAACTCCAACTCCTTGCTCACCTACACCAACACCAACTCCAACTCCAACACCAACACCAACACCAACACCAACACCAACACCAACACCAACTCCAACTCCAACACCAACACCAACACCAACACCAACACCAACCCCAACTCCAACTCCAACTCCTTGCTCACCTACACCAACACCAACACCAACACCAACCCCAACTCCGACTCCAACTCCAACTCCTTGCTCACCTACACCAACACCAACACCAACCAAAACTGTAACACCGACACCAACACCTACTCCAACGCCAACAAAAACACAAACACCAACTCCAACTCCTTGCTCACCTACACCAACACCAACTCCAACTCCAACACCAACACCAACACCAACACCAACACCAACACCAACACCAACTCCAACTCCAACACCAACGCCAACTCCAACTCCTTGCTCACCTACACCAACACCAACTCCAACACCAACACCAACACCAACACCAACACCAACACCAACACCAACACCAACACCAACACCAACACCAACACCAACACCAACACCAACACCAACACCAACTCAAACACCAACTACCTGCTCAACTTCACCAACACCAACACCAACTCCAACTCCAACTCCAACTCCAACTCCAACTCCAACTCCAACTCCAACTACCTGCTCAACTACACCAACTACCTGCTCAACTACACCAACTACCTGCTCAACTACACCAACTACCTGCTCAACTTCACCAACACCAACACCAACTCCCACACCAACACCAACACCGACACCGACACCAACACCAACACCAACTACCTGCTCAACTTCACCAACTCCAACACCAACACCGACACCAACACCGACACCAACACCGACACCAACTACCTGCTCAACTTCACCAACACCGACTCCAACTCCAACACCAACACCGACACCAACGCCAACACCAACACCAACACCAACACCAACTCCAACTCCAACTCCAACTCCAACACCAACACCAACACCAACTACCTGCTCAACTACACCGACTCCAACACCAACTCCAACTCCTTGCACAACCACCCCCGCTCCCTGTACAACAACACCTGCTCCTTGTACAACAACTCCCGCTCCGTGCACAACAACACCTGCTCCTTGCACAACACCACCCCCAGTGTGCCCATCGTCGCTTCAAGTCAGTAACCAAGCATCAGCACCGACTTACAGCAAACCAATAGTTCAATCGTTGAGGCCGAATACGTTTGTGCGTCCAGCTCAACAACCGACCAGCAATATGATGGTATTACCACCGCAATCACATGAATCCAATATGGATCTGTATATGCGGTATGTATGTAAAGGTAAACCCAACGGTTTCATGTTACCTTCGCTGCGAAGCTGCAACGAATACTTCATTTGCCGTAACGAAGAAACGCTCAAAGCGAGCTGTGGCGATAAATTCTTTAACTCATTGAAGGGACAATGTGATTTGCCTGAGAATACCGGCTGCATTCAACCGTATCAGCAGAGAAATTAAAATTTCTTACGGAAATACGATATTTTTATCATCAACTAAAAAACTAAACTAAATCGAAATGCACATGAAGCTAGAGACGAACATGCGAACGTGGGAAACGATAAAACACCTTTAAGAAGTATATAATAAATAATGAATAAAAATAATTTAAGAAACATTTCAATATCATAGACACACATGCATAATTGTATGTATATGTGTATGTTTGTGATGAACGTCCGTTTATGGAAATGTATGCAGATTTTAAATACTATAAATATATATGTATGCATATGAGCATCTCATTCATAAGAATGTAAAAGGAGGGAATTATTTTATTAGAGAACAAAAGGTATATTTGGACCAGTCTTTCATTCTCTTTCTTTTGTATTAGCGTAAGCATAGCTCAGAGTTCCTCCTTTTGCAATTCAGCGCGAATTGAAGACTCCAAGTGAAACCCAGTTCTACTCCACCTGAACTTTCCAACGGCCATACCACCGTCCTTTCATTTCACCGCAGTTAAGTAGGCTGGAACTCCATAGCATATTCGAGCATTTTCTCTGCTAGCCATCTTCAAAAGTTTCTCATATTCTGCTTTTCAACCAACTGGCTGTCTTCTATGATTCTCAATTTTTACGTGAACTCTATTTCGTGTTTTATTGCCTGCGCCATCTCTGCGTACATTCGTTTCAACAACTTCATGATCCGAGTGGATGTTAGATGCACAGGCATACTTGGTCAGACATCATCCTTCTCTTTCGTCCGAGAGTTGGGACGTAAATCAGCGGTTTGTGACTTAGTCTTCCTTCAAACGCAAATCCAATACCAAATGAGCTGTAGCAGAATTCTTCCGCCTATTCTTGGACAACCAGCGGCAACTCCAACACCAAAGCGCTTCATTTGCAAGAATTTTCATTTTGTATTTGGTGGGTCACAAATACTGCATACAGTTAAATGAAATAAACTTTCTCACTTTAGCTCGCCTCCAGACGGCTGTGAGTGGACCACCTAGACGAATGATGTTGGTTACCCATCGATTGATACTTAGTCTGAGATTAACCCCTTTCAAGATAATGATGGTAAAAAGCTTTCCATACTTGGGTGCACATCCTTACACATACTTTTCCCTTAAAATATCGCTGGTTTCGCTGACTGTATGGCACTAGCGCCGTCAAGTTGAAAGTGAACGTAATGCAAATCAATATTATCCAATTTTGGCCTCGATAGTGTAATCCATTCACGAATCCATTTCGAAAAAAGTGAAGTCCAGCGACTCCGTCGGACCTTAACCCGCCCCAAACAGTTACAAGTTGAAAATGGAGAGGCTTTTCAGCCGAAAATCTACGGTTTTCTGAGCCTTACTTGGCTTATTGCCGGAGCTACCGAAGTTGAAATGCGCCGCATCAGTAACGATGATTTTTCGATGAAATTCTGAATAATTTTTATGCATTTCAAGGAGCCAATTAGCAAAGGCACGATGTTGTTGATGATTGGTCGGTTGTGTTCTTGAGTTAACTGAACTTTATTAGCCTTAAGGCCCTAGTCTTTATGCAAACTACGGTGTAATGCCATTTGGAATGTTATATTCCAAAGAACGGGGAAGAATGGACAAATCTGTGTTTTCTTCAAAATTTTTTGCTGCAGCAGCAATATTAATCAGTTGTTCCTTGGCGGTGTGCAACTCTTTTATTCCTCACATCCCCAACAGGCACTTTTTCTGCTAATTTCTGTATTATGCTCCGACAAGGTGCCTCACGATTACCGAAAAATGTTTAAGTTTTTCGAACCGCCTTTGCCAGGTTTTCACCATTTTTAAAGTGAATTTCAATAATTTCAATGCGTTGTGAACCTGGGGCTGGTGACAGCTCTGACTCGTTTTATCATTTTTATTTGTTATCAGTGAGTCAATCGGCCAAAACCTTTAAACATATCTTTAAGCCAAAACAATGAGCTCAGTGAAGGTCTTTGATGTCATTGCCTTGAGCTCAAAAATATTTACCGTCACGCTGCTTTGGTGTCGAAAATGTAATAAAAAATCTTATTTTTTGTTTTTGATTTCTTCAAAGAAACAATTTGCTCGAAAAAAGTAGATGGAAGAAGGAATCTGTGCTTTTAAGAGCTTTGAGAGCGCAAAAAACTGAGCAGTAGGTGAGAGACACGCGGGAGCTACAGCAGTACATGTATAAGCATCGGTATGAAAAAAAAGCGCACAAAATGAAAATTCAAGAATTCCTGTTACATTTCGACTGCGCGATTTTTTTAAATTTGCTTATTTTCTCTGCTCCTTTTTTAATTTTCATTCCACCCATTGCGATTGCTTCTGCTGTTTTTGGAAAAGCAATTTCGTTTGATGGCACTTTATATATGCATATGTATGTACGTCACAGTACAGTACAGAGAGGAGAGTTTCCTATATTACAGGTAGTCATTGGGGAGAGCATAGCACTTCTGGGCGGGCGAAAGATAACATACGAAAAGCTGAAAGACTACCAAGTCTAAAGTGGAGAAGGAAACCAAAAAACAGTAATAGTTTGTTACAAGAGCAGTCGGTGTGGTAAATGAAACCTTCTTTTGTAGGTACCAATTTCGGTTGCAAAGTGGCTCGAAAACACATAAAAAAAAGAATTATTGTAAATCGAAAGAAAGCGAATTGAAAGAAAATGGAAGAGAGAAAACAAAGGGGCAGTAGGTAAATGAGTTCAACTTAGGTGAAATTAAATATTTAAAATGACAAAATGCAAGGAGAAGAAGCTAAATTGAAGAAGAAACTTCTGGTCTTGGAATTTGAAATTATATAAAACGAGTACATATATAATACGACTACTCTTCGTGCTACTAGTATTAGTACTGTCTTTTATTAACCGCTAAAGCTACTGCTGTTATTAATACTTGCTTTTTATGTCCACTAATGGCTAATGCAAGAGCATCTAAAATGGTAGTAAACCGTGTGGCCAGAACTAGTCTCACGGTAAATCCCAGTAAGACAGGTAATGCCTTATTCTCCGGAATCTAGAAAGCGACTTCCTCGATAGAGGCTTACTCCCTCTCACTTATTCGAGATTGTAAAATACTTAAGAGCCGTCGCAAACAGGAAACAGTCCTTGTAAGGTTGTTGCTGATAGAAGATTTGGCTTTATAACTATTGTCAAACCAATATTATTTTACCGAGTTTTAGTAGAATGGAAGCCACTGGGAAGTGTTATTTTAGAAAATCAACCGTAAATCGTTCAATGCGTGGCACTGAACTGAATTTTTTGTGCATTAGGAACTACTCCAAGCTTAGCGTTGTATTAAAGCGTTGCTGCAAAAGTCGCTGTAGCACTCAGTGAGTCTGAAATATCGATTGGCTCCAGCGTAGGGTTTACTCCTCTTTTTAAATAAGCTGGCACCGAGTGGCTTCCTCTTCATCATAATTCTTCTCCTCTGTTTTTAGAGCGCTCGAATTCATCCTCTTCTGCATGCATTGTTATGTCTTCGACCTGGCACCGATTGGTTTACTCTTTGTCATAATGCCTTCATGAGAAGAGCCAAAATTCCTTGAGGAAAGTAGTATTTCTCTACTTTACTGATAAAAAAAATTATACATCGGTGATGTGTTCAAACTTCAAGGCCCTCACAGTATGGTTTAGTGTTATTTTCAACTTGGCAGTGGATATTTTGCTTCATGAGGTAGACCAACATTCACTCACGGACAAAAAGTAAAAGGGGGATGCTCTACCTTGAACCACCTGGGAGAGCGGTCGAGGAATAGCTCCTCAAACTTTACGGATACGATCTCCCTATGGTCTAAGTTAAGCTTTAGCAGCTCAGAGAAGCTCCTTTCTATTCCAAGATCAAGACTCTCGCGCAATGTGGAAGTTCTAACTGGGATTTGGCTGATGGATTTCTCGTTATAGAGCTTGTCCAAAACCTTTCTATCGCAAACTTTTTGTACCAACATTTCGGAAGTCGACATCGTCTACGCTTCTGCATTATATAGCAGAAGAACTTATAAATTCGGCTTTTTTTTCGGGATATATGATTTTATTTCCAACTGTATTCGCACCCCGAAGTATAACCCTAAGCATGGGTTTGAGGGGCAAGTCTTCACGCGATTACAGCAATCCGCTGCACTGTACATAACAGAAACGATAAGACCCACTCCAATAGCGACACTTGAAAGGTTAATTACTTACCACTAATTGCCAAGACATTGACCAGTACCGCAGCAAAGTTTTGCATGAAATCTATGACCTTAGGTGAATTTTTCTCTGCAACCTTCAGACACAGCTCGATATGAAAGTAGGTGGTAGACAGAATAGATCTTATACTCCCAAGCGGATGGCCTAAGAACATGCGACCCGGCAGTGGACGCTCTGACATAAATGTAAACACGAATGGATTCCAATTAGCTGATGGTCTAGGCTCACGAATCTATTGCCTGGAGCTAAACATCAGTGAATCTTTCAACCATACAGAGTACTGTAATATTTACCAGCCGGCAGCCTTCGCTTCAATGAGACATACTGCGATAACTAGTAACGCTGAAAACAATATGAAAAATATATGTCGACAAACAGATGGCTATTAAGGGGATAATCTCTTATCATATGGCGTGAGGAAATATCCTTGGGAGTAGGGAAACTGTAGACAGAGCGGACATAGGTAATCGGCTGCATATATATGGGGTACCAGGCATTATAGGTGATGGAACTTGCAACGAATTTGACAAAAGTGTCTTCTGCCATGCTACCGAATCAGTGCAAGCAATACAAAAGTCGCTATGAACGATTTATAATGAAATTTCCGAAAGAGCTGGTAGCCAGATTTGGGTGAGTTAGAACGCATTAGCGACAGGCAAGCTTACCAATATCTTGTGCAATAGGAAAAAAGGAATATCCGTTTTCTTTGCTAGAACTCTTCTTTGAGCTTCGGAGCTCAAAGTCTTCGAGGAGGCTTTAAAATTGGATATTAATGTTTCCTTCAGCTTCGCAAAAAGCTTTGACATCCTAAACGACGATAACATTAGATCGAAATAAAAT